GCCCCAGGGAGAAACCTTACCAGTTCTTGACAAGTGGAATGTCCAGGGCCCGACGGGTGCGACCAGAGCGTAGGTTGAAGGGCCGTGGGGCCCAGAGCAGGGCAATGCCATTGGCTGTATTGTCTGTATAGAGGGGTGTGTCCTTCAGGAAGGGCTCCACAAACTCCGGGAGCTCAAATTCCTCATCATCATCCGGCAACGGTTCCTGGCTCTGAAAAAGGAATCCCTCTAAGGGTTTAGTTCCTGCTGAACTAGGCACAGACTTAAGAGGGAAATTATCTGGGGCCAAGCACAAAGCCTGTATCTGCCATGGAAACTGGGCTGTCTGACAGAAGCAGCCCTGAAGTGCCAGCGCAAAGGAAACCAAGGGAGCAAAGAACAAGACAGGGCCACCAGGAAAGCAGGTGTCACTTCTCACACCTCAACTGGCTCACCAACAGAAAGCCTCCCAACAGAGCCCCAACACCACAGCAGCCAACACTGCAATCACCTCCCACCCAAGCTCCAAACACTGGGCTTGGACACAACGGAACACAAATGAACATCGAAAACATTATGGTGAGCTTAAGAAGCCAGTCACTGAAGACTACATAGTGTATGATTCTGTTTCATTCTATCATATGAAATGTGTAGAATAGGCAAATCTACAGACAGAAAGTAGATTAGTGGTTGTGTAAGAAAGTTGGGGAGAAATGAAGAGTAACTGCTAAGGGTTTCTTTCTCAAGTAATGAAAATATTCTCAAATTGCATGTCATGAGAGTTGGGACAACTCTAAGAATAAGCTAAAAACCACCAAATTACACACTTTAAACGGGTAACTTGTATAGTATGTTAACTACATCTCAATATAAAGACTAAAACAAACAAATAGAATAGAGACAGACCAGGACAGATTATCTAGAGCACCCAACAGGAGAATCATAAAGTCCAGAAGGATGATCACAGAAACCAGGATTATACCAACGACGTGTTTTAAGGCAAATGCTAAATTCTCAAACTCGCTTATAGCTCAAGGGGAATACTTAGCAAGACGGAAAACACGTCTCCCTCCATTTGAGTGTTCAGTAACGTTTCAGCCAACCTCAGGCATTTCTCCTAGAACTGCTGAGGGAAAGTGTCCCTTCCCTTCCTCACCTTGACCGAGTGCCTGTGGGAGATTGGGTTGATCAAAGGGTCAAAGTAGAAAGCTGGCAAATCAGGATCCTCAGTTTTGATGAATACAACGTTGGGAGTATGGTACCTAAAACGAAAGGAAGAGTCAGCCAAAGTTTTCCTGCCCTGGCACAACCTAAATACCAGCCTTCTCCTTTCCAACTGTTGTGTTCCAGGTCTCTTACCAGGTAAGGTGGACATGGTGTGGAAGATTGTTGTACAGGTAAGGAAAAGCAATCTTGTATTCAGTGCGGATAGGCTGCCGGATGATAATCTTGTTAATATCATTGAATTCATTCCAGTCTTCATCCCTAGGGCGCAATATCAAGAATAAGCAGACTTTTTTTTTTTGAGACAGGGTCTCACTCTATCACCCAAGCTGGAATGCAATGGCATGATCATGGTTCACTGCAGCTGCGACCTCCTGGGCTCAGACAATCCTCCCACAGCTCAGCCTCCCAAGTAACTGAGACTACAGGAAGCTGCGAGTGCCACAACACCCAGCAAAACTTTGGTAAAGATAGGGTTCTGCCCTGTTGCCCAGGCTGGGCTCAAACTTTTGGGCTCAAGCAATCCTCCTGCCTCAGCTTTCCAATGTGCTGGGATTACAGCATGAGCCACTGCACCTGGCGCAGACTAATTTGGAAGTTATATCAGGACTTTAAGGATCAAGATTACATTTTATCCAACTCAAAACGTCTAAAATTCATAATCTCTCCAACTCACTGTAGGTTGATGTCTCGAACAAGAGGTTCAAATTTGGGGCCTCCAGGAATGGCCATATTGAGTGCCTTGGATGTAAAGAAGGCCTTCAAATCAAACAGGTAGAAGTAGTTGTCATCCACCAAGTCTGTCAGGAGCTGATTAGCCAGGCGGTAGAGAGTCGACATCATAGGTAGTGTGAACTGCCAGCGCTGGTAAGTGGAGCCATTTACATACCTAGGGTAGAAAATGAAAGACCCACCTCAAGTAAGCAGCTAGACAAACCATACCACCTACTGATCTCCCAGGACTCCCTCTGGGTTTCCGGAACTCCTCCCAGGAGTAGCATCTCCATCTATCACTCACTTCCTGCTGTCCCTCAATGGCTGGTGGTCATAGAACCAGTCCAACACAGGGGCGTCCTCCTCAGGGTCCAGCTCTAGCTGAATGGCCTCCAGTGGCTCAACATCTAGGATGTTGTCAGCATAGTCCAAGGGCGGCTCCTCATCATCAAAAGGGGGAAAACGCATCCTCTTGAAATGCCTCCTATCTCTTTTTTCTCGGCGCATCATAATCCACATTGACCTAGAAGGCAAGAACATCACACAACCATTTCTACCCACTGCCCCCAACCACCACCACCACTGCCCACCATATTTCAGCCTTTCTCACCCCCACTGGGAGATGTAGACAGGTTCAATAACCCAGGGAATCTCATTGACGAAGGAAATGGCTCCAGTGATGTGGTACAGCACAGGCACATCCCGAATCTGCTCCCAAGGCATAGGCATGTTCTCCAGGAGTTTGAGGACTGCGTGGGGCATGTACTTTAGGGCACTGGCACATTAGAAAAAGAGAAGGCTATTAGAAATGACGAGGTGTTCTGCTACCTGTCCCATGCAGAGAAGCCACACGTTCATGTTCCACAGTAAATCCTACCTTACAATCCAAACTCCCAGACTTAGCCCATAGGCCCTTCCTAACCAGAAACCCTGCCTCTCCCTCTACAACTTCATCTTGCAGCACTCTTCTTTTTTTTTTTTTTTTTTTGAGACGGAGTCTCGCTCTGTCGCCCAAGCTGGAGTGCAGTGGCCGGATCTCAGCTCACTGCAAGCTCCGCCGCCCGAGTTTACACCATTCTCCTGCCTCAGCCTCCCGAGTAGCTGGGACTACAGGCGCCTGCCACCTCGCCCGGCTAGTTTTTTTTTTTTGTATTTTTTAGTAGAGACGGGGTTTCACCGTGTTAGCCAGGATGGTCTTGATCTCCTGACCTCGTGATCCGCCCGTCTCGGCCTCCCAAAGTGCTGGGATTACAGGCTTGAGCCACCGCGCCCAGCCTCAGCACTCTTCTTAAATGTCATAGTCCCACAATGCTGGTATCAGCTCCTCTAAATCAACAGCTATCCCTCTGGAGACAGCTTTGCGGCTGTCTCACATCCTATTCCCTCAGTATCTTCTCATAAATCATAATAAAGTATTCACCATACTTCACTATCACCAGTTGTCTCATGTCTGTCATGCCACTAGACTGCACACTGCAGAAAGGCGGAGATTGTTACCCTCTGCTCGCTACTATACCCCAAGCAGCCAGCACAGTTCTCAAACTATTTTTTGAAATAAACAAAACTTCCAGTTCATTACACGGCAAACGTTTTTGTGTCCAAATAGAGCAGGAATCTGCTAAGACATCTGTACCTGTACCCACCCAGTTTACAGCCACAGAAAAACAGCAGTAGGGATACCTCTGAAATTAAATACCCTAAACACAGAATTCAGGTCCCTGAGGAGTGACAGGCTGCCACTATGCACAGTCTCCCACTCTGGGCTTCAAACAGCTCAACGACAGGGATATCTTATAACAGCATCAACAGGACAAATTAAAGTCCCAGGCCCAGATCAGGAACAGAAGGGAAACAGACTGCGTAAGTGGAAGATGTAGAAATTATCAGAGACTCCTACTGGTTTTCTCCTTTCTCTTATATCCACCAAGATGAGCTGTCAAAGCAGCGTCCTGTTCCAAAATGACAGAGCATCTATCCAAGACTGTGGGACAGGGAAAAGGGAAAAGAACCAAATTCCAAATGAAGTTATTTCAGGATGTTCCTTACCCCAAGTAAACCCTTTTGTCATGGCGGAACTTTCTGTTGGTCATGTCTCCATGGTCTCGAATGATCTTCCTGACATGTTCCGGGGGCATGTCTTCCTTCTGGGCATCCACAAACCCAAACTTCCGCTTTTCTGCATAGCGCTTCGCCTGCAATTGCTGCCATTTTCGGGCTACAAAGGCACCTCAGTTTAAAGGACTGCACACCCTCAGCCTAATCCTCTTCACCTCTTGCCCTAGGGTAAGCTCCTGTCAGTGAGTGTGACAGAGGAGCAGGCATCCAGCAGGAAGCAACACTCCTTGCCAATTCCCTTACCACTTTACTATGTTTTTCCCTTCATCACATTTATTACTATCTGACTTTTTTTTTTTTTTTGAGACGTTGTTTTGCTCTGTTACCCACGTTGGAGGGCAATGGAGCGATCTCGGCTCACTACAACCTCCGCCTCCCGGGTTCAAGCCATTCTCCTGCCTCAGCCTCCCCAGTGGCTGGGATTATAGACACGCGCCACCACACACGACTAATTTTTGTATTTTTAGTAGAGATGGGGTTTCACAATGTTGGCCAGGCTGGTCTCGAACTCCTGACCTCAGGTGATCCGCCCGCCTGGGTCTCCCAAAGTGCTGGGATCACAGGTGTGAGCCACTGCGCCCGGCCTGACATTTTTATTACAGATCCTCAAGGTTTTGTTACTGTCTATCTCTCCCGCTGTAATTTAAACCCCGTAAGGACAGGAATTTTGTCTCCATCACTACTGGATCAGCGCTTGCAGATAACACGCGCTTAAAATGACTTGATAAAAAGTTAAATGGGGCTAACAAGGGAGTTGTCACCTCGGGAGCTGCCCAAACGGGGAGGGTCCCCAGCCACCTGCGCGCGCGAACACCCGCCCCGCCTCCGGCTCGCGCGCCGCTCCACACTCGACTCACCTTTCTCCTGCAGCTTCTCCTCCGACATGTAGTCCGGTAGCGGGGCTAGAGGGCCGGGCACCGGGTTACCCGGCCCTCGGTAAGGAAATACTCCGGCCATACCCGGAGAATCTGGACAGCGGCGGGACAGAAAAATTCACTAACCACAGGCCCGGGCCCACAAGAAGCGCAGCAGAAAGGCGTCCGGGGACCCCGGCCTGCAATCCCGCCACACTGAGTGCATCCAGCCCCGCCCGGCCTAACCCCTTCGGTCACTCAGCCCGACCCGACCACGCCTCCCGCAGCCCGGCCTTAAACGCCTGCCACGCACCCCACAACCCCTCACACAGGAGGCCGCTTTCTCCGGAGCGCAATGGCGGCCAGTGCGCGTCCGCTCCGCGTTCCCAGCGCCGGAAAGTGCGCAACCCGACTTCAGCAGTTGATCCAATCGGCGCCGAGGTGCTCAGATGGATTGGTAAGATGGCCAATTAGAGTGGCACACTGCGCCGAGGAGGCGGGCCCACAGGCGGAAAGGCTTTGAATACAAGGGGGTGTGGTCGGGGAAGCCCCGCCTCCCACGTTTCCGAGGCTGTTCCTGAGGCCCCCGACAGACCTCAGTGTGTGATAGGCTCCCGGCGTCGCCCTGCGAGAGACCGAAGTCTGGAAGCTTTTAATAAATTTGCCAAGATTGCGCATTGTACGATGTCTGTTGTCATCAATGTATACGTGCAATGCAGTACTAGCTCCAGGACGGTCATTTGTTCATGCATTCATTCTTTTTTTTTTTTTTTTTTTTTTTTTTTTTTTTTGAGACGGAGTCTCACTCTGTCGCCCAGGCTGCAGTGCAGTGGCCGGATCTCAGCTCACTGCAAGCTCCGCCTCCCGGGTTCACGCCATTCTCCTGCCTCAGCCTCCCAAGTAGCTGGGACTACAGGCGCCCGCCGCCTCGCCCGGCTAGTTTTTTGTATTTTTTAGTAGAGACGGGGTTTCACCGTGTTAGCCAGGATGGTCTCGATCTCCTGACCTCGTGATCCGCCCGTCTCGGCCTCCCAAAGTGCTGGGATTACAGGCTTGAGCCACCGCGCCCGGCCGCATTCATTCATTTAACCATTCTTTATTGAGTGCCCACTGTCTACCGAGGACGAGGGATAAAGCAGGAAAAAAGACAACCAGTAGGGTTCACAGGGGAGCAGAAAGAATCAAGCTCATGGGGGGGGGGGGGCGGTAGCTCACGCCTGGAATCGCAGCCTTTTGGGAGGTTGAGGCGGGCGGATCGCTTAAGGCCAGGAGTCCAAGGCCAGCCTGGCCAACATGGTGAAACCGCGTCTCTACTAAAAGTACAAAAATTAGCTGGGCGTGGTGGCATGCACCTGTAGTTCCAGCTACTCGGGAGGCTGAGACAGGAGAATCGCTTGAACCCGGGAGGCGGAGGTTGCAGTGAGCCGAGATCGCGCCACTGAACTCCAGCCTGGGTTACAGAGCGAGACTCCGTCTCGGAAAAAACAAACAAACAAAAAGTCTGAAATTCCCACCAAGTTTATTGGGGAGGATGCAGAGGAATTGTAACCCATACAGCCCCTCAATCTAGTTGAGAATTTACAAATCAAAGTGAAATAATTAGAAAAAAAAATGCAAAGGATGTCAATGTGCTTTCAGAACGGTAAAAATTTTAAAACAATTCCTTTTGTTTTCTTTTTTAGACAGGGTCTCACTCTGTTGCCCAGACTGGAGTGCAATGGTGCGATCTCAGTTCACCACAACCTCCACCTCCCAGGCTCAAGCGATTTCCCTGCCTCAGCCTCCAGAGTAGCTGGATTACAGGCAGGTGCCACTACTGCTAGCTAAATTTTGTATTTTTAGTAGAGACAGCGTTTCACTATGTTGGCCAGGCTGGTCTCAAACTCCTGACCTCACGAAATCCTTCTGACTCGGCCCTCCCAAAGTGCCGGGATTACAGGCGTGAGCCACCATGCCCGGCCTAAAAACTATTTTTAATGCAATGGGGAGTTTGGGCAAGGGCTGGCTAAGTGACTTATCCAGGCATACATACTCAGCTAGTCTGTAGCACAGCCAGAATCAGAATCGAGGTCTTTGGTTTGGTTCAGGGCGCTTTCCTATACACTGTTTTGCCTCTTTCTTTATAGACAGGCCACAGAATGGAGAAATTTCAAGGTAGAAAGGTAGGAGTCGGCTGACGACTAAACATCCATCAAGTCAGATACATTGCCTCTGGAGTGATATTTATAAGTCAGGCTGTTTCCGTTTGAAAGGCAGACTTCTATTTGTCAAGTATTGATTTCTGCACTCTTCAGGAATGCAGTAATTGTGGAGGGCAGAGGTGCATTTCAGCTTTCCTCTGTAGACATGAACATCACTTAGCTTGGTACTGTGGAACATATTCTGCTTTTTTCTTTTTCTTTTTTTTTTTTTTTTTTTTTTGAGACGGAGTCTCGCTCTGTGGCGCAGGCTGGAGTGCAGTGGCTGGATCTCAGCTCACTGCAAGCTCCGCCTCCCGGGTTTACGCCATTCTCCTGCCTCAGCCTCCCGAGTAGCTGGGACTACAGGCGCCTGCCACCTCGCCCGGCTAGTTTTTTGTACTTTTTAGTAGAGACGGGGTTTCACTGTGTTAGCCAGGATGGTCTCGATCTCCTGACCTCGTGATCCGCCCGTCTCGGCCTCCCAAAGTGCTGGGATTACAGGCTTGAGCCACCGCGCCCGGCCCATATTCTGCTTTTTTTTTTTTTGAGACGGAATCTGACTCTGTCGCCCAGACTGGAGTGCAGTGGCACGATCTCGGCTCTCTGCAACCTCCACCTCCCAGGTTCAAGTGATTCTCCTGCCTCAGCCTCCTGAGTAGCTGGGATTACAGGCACTTGCCACCATGCCCAGCTAATTTTTTGTATTTTTTACCATGTTAGCCAGGATGGTCTCCATCCCTTGACCTCATGATCTGCCCAGCTCGGCCTCCCAAAGTGCTGGGATTACAGGCGTGAGCCACTGTGCCCGGTTGGTAGTAAATACTGTCTTTGGCTGAAGCCTTGCCCCTTACTGTAGCCTGCCAATCTGTGCCCTTAAGAGGACTCCCTCATCTCCCAAACCTTCACTGGTTGGCATTGCTAATCCTGGGGACTGAGAGGCTGGCACGGAAGCTCTCTCTGCCCCAGATGCCAGGTCAGGGCATTGCTAGAAGAGGATAGAGAAGCCTGCAGCACTGGAGTACCACAAATTCCTGCTGCACTGACGCAGGCCAGTCCTGCTACCTATTCACTCGCTCCCCTTAGCAGCTTGTCCAAACATTGTTTTCTTCAAACTCCTGCCCTTCCTTCCCCAACCCCAACTGTGTGGAATCCAAATATTTCCACCTTAACAGCAAACAGGAGTGGGGTGCTGGGGAGATGGAGGAGATGGGGGAGGGAAACAGGGGAACTATCTAGGGCTGCTGCCGTAGTATTTCATTGAAATATATTGAATCTGGCCGGGCGCGGTGGTTCAAGCCTGTAATCCCAGCACTTTGGGAGGCCGAGAGGGGCGGATCACGAGGTCATGAGATCGAGACTATCCTGGCTAACACGGTGAAACCCCGTCTCTACTAAAAAATACAAAAAAAACTAGCCGGGCGTGGTGGCGGGCACCTGTAGTCCCAGCTACTTGGGAGGCTGAGGCAGGAGAATGGCGTAAACCCGGGAGGCGGAGCTTCCAGTGAGCTGAGATCACGCCACTGCACTCCAGCCTGGGAGACACAGCGAGACTCCGTCTCAAAAAAAAAAAAAAAAAGAAATATATTGAATCTAAAAATTCATATGAGGTCGGCTGCAGTGGGTTCACGCCATTCTCCTGCCTCAGCCTCCCGAGTAGCTGGGATTACAGGTGTCTGCCACCACACCCGTCTAATTTTTTGTATTTTTAGTAGAGACGGGGTTTCACTGTGTTAGCCAGGATGGTCTCAATCTCCTGACCTTGCAATCCGCCCGCCTTGGCCTCCCAAAGTGCTGGGATTACAGGCATGAGCCACCACGCCCAGCCTCCTGTCTCTATTAAAAAAAAAAAATTTATCTGGGTGTACTGATGCATGTCTGTAATCCCACCTACTCAGGAGGCTAAGGCAGGAGGATTGCCTGAGCCCAAGAGTCAGGAGTTGGAGGCTGCAGTGAGCTATGATTGCACCACTGTACTCCAGCCTGGGTGACAGGGTGAGACCCTGTCTCAAAACATATAAACAAAAACAAAAGATAAGATGAATCTCTGTTGTGTGAGGTTAAATGGGATAATGTATACAAGGTGCCTGATGGCCAGGTGTAGTGGCTCACACCTGTAATCCCAGCACTTTGTGAGGCCAAGTAAGGCGAATCACAAGGTCAGGAGTTCGAGACCAGCCTGGTCAACATGGTGAAACCCTGTCTCTACTGAAAACACAAAAAATTAGCCGGGCATAGCTGGGCACAGTGGCTCACGCTGTAATTCCAGCACTTTGGGAGGCTGAGGCGGGTGGATCACGAGGTCAGGAGATCGAGACCATCCTGTTTAACACAGTGAAACCCCATCTCTACTAAAAATACAAAAAATTAGCCGGGCGTGGTGGCAGACACCTGTAGTCCCAGCTACTTGGGAGGGTGAGGCCAGAGAATGGTGTGAACCCGGGAGGCGGAGCTTGCAGTGAGCTGAGATTGCGCCACTGCACTCCAGCCTGGGTGACAGAGCAAGATTCCTCTCAAAAAAAAAAAAAAAAAAAATTAGCTGGGCATGGGTGGGTGCCTGTAATCCCAGCTACTTGGGAGACTGAGGCAGGAGAATCGCTTGAAACAGTAAGGCAGAGGTTGCAGTGAGCTGAGATTGTGCCACTGCACTTCAGCCTCAGGGACAAGATGCGAGACTCCGTCTCATAAATAAATAAATAAATAAATAAATAAATGGTGCCTGACAAATGTTCAGCCAGGGATGCTCCTAAATAAACATTTCATCTCAACACAAGAGCTCCTCTCAAAAGAGTAACTTCCCTTATGTAGCTTCTTGCAAAATGAGGACTTCTAATTTGCAGCCCAACAAAATCCAGATTTTATGTGATAAAATTTTGGCAGTTCAGTTATGAAGTTTTCTGTTTAATTTTCTTGTTGATTGAGGATTAATTTGGCTACAAGATTCTTTTGGTTTCAACCTTTGGCACTGAAAATCATTCTAAACTCTCTGAATCCGACTGGATGTAATGGCTCACGCCTGTAATCCCAACATTTTGGGAGGCCAAGGTGGGCGGATCACTTGAGGTCAGCAGTTCAAGACCAGCCAGGCCAACACAGTGAAACCCTGTCTCTACTAAAAATACAAAACTTAGCCAGGTGTGGTGGCACATGCCTGTAGTCCCAGCTACTCGGAAGGCTGAGGCAGGAGCATCTCTTGAACTTGGGAGGTGGAGGCTGCAGCGAGCTGAGATCGACCCACCGCACTCTACCCTGGGTGAAAGAGTGACAGCTTGTCTCAAAA